CACTGGCCACAGGGCAGGGAAGGCAGTGGGCACGAGTCGGCACAGCTCAATGGAGAGACAGCGCCAAGGTGAACGAACAGGTGGGAAGTGAGGCAGGATGCAAGGACTTCCTCTTCTCAACGTTAGGAGCCTGTGCCTTAAGACAACTAAATGGAAGGTAAACTACATTCACATGGTTTTCAGTGACAGAGGAAAAGTTCTAAATGAAAAAAGTTCAGTACAAATGAAAGTACTACACTTTACAGCATAATAATCACTCCTTGCAATGTAGGTACTGTCACTTTGGATTTATAAATACACGAGTATGTTGGATCTTCCTGTTCATTTCAAAGCTCTCACATCTAGCCCAGACTGTGTGGCTCAGTGGACTGAGCACCGCCCACCGACTGAGAGGTCCTGGTTAGATTCCTGGTCAGGGCACATGTCCGGTTGCAGCTTTGATCCCCAGTAGGGGGCGTGCAGGAGGCAGCCAATAGATGTTTCTCACATCAGTGTTTCTCTCAAAAAATAATTGAAAGCACATTTAAAAGCTCACACAACTAGAGGAATACAACACCTAGTCTGAAAATAACTTCCCTTTTGAACCATAAATCTACTACAATGAAAAATGAAAACAAATTCAGCCAAACAAGAGGGACTCCAAACACCAGATGAGTTATCTTTAAAATCTGATCTTCGTTTTTCTTGCAATTAAAATTGGTCAACTTCAGCAAAGAACTTTTTCCACGTAGTCAAATCCTTATATTTTGTTCCTACAATGACACTTCCCCACCACGTTGATTATTTCCCGTCCCAATAATGCCGGCGATATGGGCAAATGTACAACCTGGTATTAAAAATAACCAAAGCGAGGTCCTGACTCTCTTTAAAGAAACTCAGAAAAAGTAGTTTTGACCTGACCAACAAATTAACACTGAGTGGAAAAGAATGAATGAGCTACTATTAAGCCATCCCTTTCATTGTCCGGATCAGAAGGAAGGTTAAAAGTGAGCTGCCCAAGATCCCCCCACTGAACAGTGAGAGGTGCGTGCGAGTCCCCATCGGCTGACTCCCGCTGCAAGGCTTCTTCTGGTCCACTGGGGTCTCCACTGCATTCTGCCAGGCTCAGGACTGGCCCTGAAGGCAATGAAGGAGCAACTCCCACTCTTGGTACATGTGCCCAATAAACAGGAATGGAAAAAAAATCACAGAACTCGTCCACGACAGAACCATCTTTTCGAAGCCCAACCCGAGAGCCCACCTCAGTCTACCTCAACTAAACCGCCACTTCAAATGAAGGCAAATACACGTCAACGTGTGTATTTCCCTCTAGTGTCCATCCTATCAGTGCTTCTCTCTTAGACACACATGCAATTCAGTTTCCATTTATTTCTAGTTCAAGTTCGCCACAGTTTATGATCAGGGTGGAAAGTCTGCTTTCCACATTTTGTGAGGCGGTAGGGAAGGTAAGTGGATTACGAAATTAATAAACAAAGACTAGTGGCGGATACACCATTTCTGGGGTTCATATGAAAACAGCCCAAATTCTAGCGAACAGAGAAGATGCTGTGCTGTTTATTTAGATGGCAAAGTAGAACAACATCAACACTAGCGAGACCGTCCCCAGGAAAGGGAGGCCCTGACCAGGCCGGAAGGAAGGCACAGAAGCAGATCGCTGTGATTTCTTACAGTGCTCAATAAAAACATTTAAAAATCCAACTTTAATTCTACTTCCTGTCACACAAAAGCCAGAACAGGAGGCCAGCAACACCGACGTCTGTAATGAGCCCAGCCTGACAGGATTTGGCCGTGAAGAACTCTTCCATGCAGTTATGAAGACGGCCATTCAACGAGGGAAATTAGGAGCAAGCAGCGGAGGACAAGCCTGTGGCTAAGGGAGTTCACACAGGGAAGTGATCTGGGAGTCCTGTTACCTTTCAACCACCTTAACTTATCAGTTCTACAAGTATTAACTGAGGTTTTGTTGTGGACAATTACAGCCATTATTCGTGGGTCACAAACCATGCCCATGAATCCAGGCAAGACTTGATACAGAGCTGTGTGTGGATTCTGACAATCTTTAGAACGCTGTAAGTATATTGGTACAGGGACATCCTAAACCTCCCTTCTGGAACTTTATTATTGATTTGTAAGACCCTGTAACAAAATGCTTGGGTTCTACACTGGAAACTACCAGGGCAAAGAACACCATCATTATGAGTTAGTGAAAAACCATACTATGGGTTAGCCAGCCCGAGTCAGAACCGCCGACCCATACTGGACTGCCTCAGGCTTCCCCATAAATAGCTTACCAATGAAACAACAGCTCATTTAAGCCCAATTCAGAAAATTTACTCAAGTTTAAGTAAGCAGTCAACCACTCTTCTCATAATGAAGTAGCAACTACTGTTCCGGCAAAACTTTTAAAAGAAGAAAAAACTTACTAATATGACCTTCTTTGAAATAACTGCAATTCCTTAACCGGCTCTACCTACTACATACTACGGCTAAGCAAAATAATGCCAGTAGATAAGACAGTGTTAGTACCTGATTAAAACTTGAAAGGTGATTTATCAAAGACCAACAGATAACATATTCTGGTGCCCAGACATTAGGTCCCTGAATCCAGGTGGCTCTCTTTCTCACCAGTCTCTTAAAAAGCTATAATTGAAAACTCGGTGTAGAACTTTGCTTTTTAACATGTGATAACATTTGGAATGTGTACACTTGGTCCTTCAATAGGAAATACATACATGCTACACAAGAAAATGCTTCTCAGGATCCCCTTAAAATAGACTGACTTCTCCTAAAGGAGACTTTCTCATTATACTGAAATATATACATGGGGCTAAAATTCTATAAATAACCAGGCAAGTCTCAATTTTGAAAATAAGCAGGTAAATGAAATGTTGTTGTTGTTTTTTTTTTTTGCTGCTGTATCTTTTAGAAAAGCAAAATCAACTCACATTTAAGCACCAACTCCATGCAAGTAACCTGAACGGTTCAGTCTTTTTGTCATGTATGAGGCCTTTGGTTCTCCAACTACCTGGGATCTGTGTTGTTAGCTTAAAAAATACAGAATTGGCCTTTCAAAAAAAAATAATAATCTACAGCAACCAATAAATAGTCTCAAGCAACCCTGCTGCCTGCAGCTGCCTCCTGAAGGCTGGGAAAGGAGGTGGAGAGAGAGCAGAGAGCAGGAAGAGAGGAGCTGCAGCTAGCTACATAGCAAGGAACACGCCCCCATCATGTCCTCCTTGCTCCATCACAAGGCGGGTGGCTGTCAGCCTCCTGATCAGGCTGCCTTAGAAAGGATTTAAAAAAGGAGGCAGGAAGACTAACCACTGAAAAATGCCAGCTCCTTGCAAGGAGGGGCCAGGATAGCTGGGGTCTCCCCCCCCCCCTCTCTTCCCAGGACCTCTGCATCTATCTAAAGGGGTGTGGGGCACAATAGGGGTAGGGGTTTGCCCAGGATACTCTGTGTGCACCAACGGCAGAGCACGCAGGAAATGCCTGGTTATCTTTCCCTTTCTGTTTCAATCAAGAGCACTCCAGAACAGCAGCCCCATGCCTCCCTCCTTCTGGCCCCCAGCAGCCCCTCTTCCTCCTCCTGCATCCCTCATCCTCTTCTTCCCCTTCCCCTGCCACTCCACCTCTCCCTGCCGCATCCAGGGGGGAGTCAAGGCGTGAAGGCCGCGGCCGAACCCGAACTCCACTTCCTCTCCCAGGGGCAACTTTCTTTCGGCTGAGCGAGGCTGAGCAGTGCGTATCAAAGCATCCCCACTCTCACCCCAGTCCCAGGGTGGAAGGGGCAGAGATCGTGAGTCAGAGAGAGAACCCTACGTCTTTCTAAGGAGGGACTCTGCTTCGCGCCCCCCTCCCCAGCCACCAGCAGCCGCCACCGCACAGTCCAGTAGAGCTGCCCCGTCGCCGCTGCGCCCCGCGCCCCCGCCCCGCCCCGGGGCGGCCTAGGAAGAGGCCCGAGGATGGAATGCCGGCGCTAAGGAGCCGGGAGCAGCGGGCTGGGGACGGCGCGCTCCGGCGCGGTGGGTGGGGCAGGAGAGCAGCTGCTTCCCCCGGGGGGAGCTGCCCCAGGCCCCCCACGAACACCTCCCCGCGCAGGGGCCCCTTCCCCCGAGCCGGAGGGAAAGCCAAGCCTGCCTCCTCCGCAGGGGACTGGGGGAAGGCTGCTCGCCTCGGAGCCCCGGGGACAGGGGACGCTCCCCCCAAAGATGCCCCGGACCCCTCGCGCTCGAGGAGGAAGGGTGCAGCGAAGAGTCAGGCCCCGCTGCCCGTGGGCGAGACGCGCGCCCCAGACGGGGAAACACCGCGGCAGAGGGCTCCTCGCCGTGGCCCGCGGAGGGAGCGGAGGGAGCGAGCAGGAAAGGAAAGTGGATTTTTCCTGCGGGGGGAGGGCGGGAGGAGCGAGCACCTACCGCTGGGGCGGGGGGCGGGGGGCGGGGTGGAGGTGAAGGAAGGGGGAGTGGCCGGGGTGCGGGACCTGGCCCCGGGATGGAGCGGGGACTCGCAGGTCCCCAGAAGCGTGGTGCCGGGAGGGCCCGGGCCCCGGAGAGGGCAGCGGGGCCCGGACGCGGCCATCGGCCGAGATGCCCGCGAGACCGCCCGAGAGGCGAGCATCTGCCCGGAGCGGGCGGCGGGATGCGCAGGGAGCAGGTCTCGAGCAGGGCGGTGGGAGGATCGGGCTCGGATGAGGTAATCTGCGCAGGGGAGGAGGGGTTCGGTCCCGGGATGGGAAGCCCCGCGAGGGGTCCGTGCCAAGGCATTCGGGCCAGGGTCAGGGGGAGGCGGGGGCGCGCGCCCTCCGCCAGATGCGTCCCCGCCCCGCGGAGGGCGCCTGGGGCCGGGCCGCTGCCGCGGGTCCCGGGATGGGAGCGCCATCTGCCCGGGTCAGGGACCCCAGGCCGGTGCCCGGGTCGGGATGCTCCGCAAGCCGGATGGGGGAGGGGAGGAGGCTCGCAGAGGGTCGAGACCCCGGGCCTGGGGGTTCCTCGCCCCCTTACCTCTCCGCTGCCGCCTCCCCCGCCGCTCTCCCCAAACACCGCCCGGAACCGGCGCAGGTTGGTGCCGATGGCGGCCGAGACCTGCAGCGCCGCGTCGAAGCCCGGGCCCACCCGGAGCAGGGCCGGCCCGGAGGAGGCTGCGGACGATGACGAAGTCGAGGACGAGGCGGACGACGACGAGGCTGCCGAGGCGGCGGCCGCTCCCCCTGCAGCCCCGGCCCCGCTGCTTCCCGCCGCCGCCGCCGCCGCGGCCGCCGCGGCCGGGGGGGAGGGGGGCGCCCCGGGGCCGCCGCCGGCCGGGGGCCCGGGGGGGAGCAGCAGGGCCGGGACGCGTTGCCGCGGGGCGCCCCCTAGGCCCCGGCGCCCCCCGCCGCCGCCGCCCCCGGTGGTCCCGGGTCGGGCGGGGAAGCGCCACCGACAGCTGTGCGCCATGTTCGCCCCGTGAAGTGAAGCAGCGAGAGGGAGAGGCGACAACACAGGGGGGCGGGGCGGCGGGGGGGGGGGCGGCGGGCCCCGGAACCTGCCTAAGCCGCCCGGCGCCGCCCCGCGGCCTGCGCGCTGCCGGCCGCCATGCAGAGCGCCGGGCCGCGCCGCCCGCCCCGCAACCTGGATGCCCGGCCCCGGCCGCGCGCCGCGCCGGCCGCCGCGGCGCCACCCCGAGCCCCGGGCCGCGCCGCCGCCCGCCCGCCGCCCCGCGAGCTGGATAACTGCGAGCCCCGCCCTCCGGGAGCGCGGCCGGGGGGGCGCGCCCGGCGCGGAGCGCGGGTTCCGGGGAGAGGGGGAGGGGGCGCGCCCAGGAGCGATGGAGGCGGAAGGGCGCCGGGCCGCCTGCCGCCCGGAGCCCGCGGGCCGCTCACACACGTTCCCGGGGCGCGCGGGGCTCGGGCCGCCCGGGAGCGCCGCTGCCCGGACAACGCGGCCGCCGGGCCGGGGACGAGGGGCCCGCTGCGCCTCCGGGCACGGACACGAGGGGGGCCGCTCGTCGCAGCCGCAGAATAAAAGACCCGGCTGGTGCTGCGCGGGACGGAAGCGCCCGGCTCGCCGCGAGCGGGGCCGAGCGGCCTTCAATGAGCGCGCTCGACGAAATAAAAGGGGCCCCTCCCATCTTCCTGCCGGAGTGCCTCCGAAGGCGCGGCGGGTGCGGGTCCCCGGCGCCCCTCTGCAGGGCCGGGCCCCGCGCGCTCGGCCACCGAGGCGGCGTACAAGGCAGCGGAGTCGGGTGGCTAACGGGCCCCGGAGCGCAGAGGCGGGCGAGGCGCCCCCGCCCCTCGCGGCTCCCCGCTCCCCGCCCTGCCCGCCGCTGCATGCAAAGCAGACCCTAATGTATGCGTGCGGAGGGGGGGCTCGCGAGCACGTTTCTGATTAAGAGAGGGGGAGGAGAGAGCCCCGGGCATTATGATCCGCGGGGTGGAAGGGGCCCGCCGCCGGCGATCTCGAGCGGCGCTAGCGGCTGGGGGAGGGGAGGGGGCCCGGGCGCAGAGGAACGTCCCCCCGGTTCACTTTATTGCGGGAGCGAGGGGAGGGCGCCTCGAGCTGGGCGTTAGAAGCCTGCTAGGCTGGGGAAGCAGCAAGGGAGGGCGGGGGTTGGACCGGCAGAACTTGCGTTGGCTGTCGGCTGGGGGATCGATCCGCAGCCTGCAGGCCCGGGGGCGGCCTCCATCCCCCCAGCCGAGACGGAGTTCGCGGGAAGGTCACGCAGCCTTTCTGGACTCCCGCACGGCTGCGGCGCGCTGCTTGTAATAGTGCAGCCCGGGGCGGCGAATTTGGGAAGGAGGGGGAGGATCGTGGTGAGCAGGTTGCAATGAGCTCCGGTCCTCTGGAGGGTGCACCACACGCCTCCAGAGAAGGTCCACGGCCTCCTGGTGCTGAAAACCTGCGTCCCTCCACGGGCGAAATGTCTGGGGAGCGGACGGCGGGGTGGGGGCTAGGGCGTGGGGGGAGCAGAGAAAGGGACGACCCCGGCGAGCCCCAACTCCCCCAACTCTTTCCGGATCGATCGTCGTTCCAGCCGCGCAGGATGGAGCCCAGATGGTTTGCACAGCGCGCACACAATCAGATTCCGTTGTTGCATCGCGTGGTTTACTAGGTACAAAAAGGGTGGGAGTCGTGGCAGAGCCTCTTCAACGGCAGCCCCAAGACTCTGCTAAGGAGAACATAGGCACCCCATTGTGGAAGGTTTCTCCATTGCAATATATTTGGCGTTAGGCGCTGCGGGTTTTGCTTCAACGTAGCTGCTCTGATCAGTTACAGATTAACGACCACGTGGATTCCCTCGAGCATCCTGATTTGTTCCTTCTCTCGCTCTCTCGCTTATTTTTCTTTTGTATTCGCCCCCCCCTCTTTAATATGCATAACGGTCTGCAGAGGTAATAGGCAGGGGACTGAGTGACAGGATTTATATAACGGTGTCAACAGGGTTTCTTTCTGTCCTCCGCCTCAGAAAACAGAAGCCAGCTAGGTTCTGAGCACAGCTCTTCAGGTGGGAGGTCTGCAGGTTGGAGGGGGCAGCAAGAAGAAAGGATGTCTAAGACTGTGACATCTCCAAACTCAATCCTCTAGGTGGAAAACTTGAGAAAATCATCTAGTTGGTCTCTTTGCCTCCGGAGTAGTCCAAAAGGAGCCAGAGCACATCAGAACTGGGTTTATGGTCGGATCTTTCGGGGCAGAAACAGTAACTAGGTTTGTCGAGTGCTTTCTGTGGGCCTACGTGCCTTCTGTGCACTCAGTTCTCACCAGCACTCTGAAAGCATCCTGATTTTACAAGGGGGGGAAACTATTCTTCCAGCAATATCCCAAGGTCGCACAATAAGTAGTGGGACCAAAAGTCATCGGGTCTGACACCAGTACCCATGAACCATACTGCTGGTCCCAAAAAGACATACTGTGCCACCTCACACTGACTAGGATTGTTACCATCAAAAAAGGAAAATAAGTTGTGAGGATTTGGAGAAACTGCAATGCTTGTGCAGTGTTGGTGGAGATGTGAAATGGTACAGCTGCCCAGCCAGTGTGGCTCAGTGGTTGAGCGTCGACCCTGCACCAAGAGGTCGCTGGTTCAATTCCCAGTCAGGGTACATGCCCAGGTTGTGGGCCCGATACCCAGTGTGGGGCATGCAGGAGGCGGCCAATTGATGCTCTCTCTCATCGATGTTTCTCTCTCCCTCTCCTTCCTCTCTCTTTAAAAATCAATAAAGAAACACATAGTATGGCAATTTCTCAAAATTGTTTAATAAGATTGCCATATGATCTAGGAATCCCACTTCTGAGTATATACCCCAAATAATTGAAAGCAGGGTCTCAAAGATATTTGTACAATCATGTTCAAGGCAGCATTATTTACAGAAGCAACCAAGTGTCCATCAACCGATGAATGGATACGCAAAATGTGTTATATTCATGCAATGAACTTTATTCAGCCTTAAAAAGGAAAGGAATTATGTGATATACTACCACATGGATGGACCTTGGGAACATTATGCTAAGTGAAATAAGCCAGTCATAAAAAGACAAATACTATCTAATTCCATTTATATGAGGTACTTACAGTAGTCAAAAATTATAAACACAGAAATTGTAATGGTGGTTGCCAGGGGCTGAGGTGAAGGAGGGTTGGAGAGTTATTGTTTAATAGGTATAGAGTTTCAGATTTACAAGATAAAAAGAGTTGTGGAGATGGATGTGGTAATGGCTACACCATAATATGAATGTACTTTAAAAAAAAAAAAGCATTCTGTGCCTTACTCATAAGGTACCTTGAACTCCATGTGTTTTATTATTTTTTATTTTAATTCCATTTATTTTTCTTGAATACCTAAGATAGTCATATGGCTAAAAATGTAAAGGAATTAGCCCTGGCCGGTTTGGCTCAGCGGTTAGAGCATCGGCCTGCGGTCCGGAGAGACCCGGGTTCGGTTCCCGCTGAGGGCATGTACCTCGGTTGCAGTTTGTCCCCGGCCCTGGTTGGTCGTGCGGGTGGCAGCCACTCGATGTGTCCCTTCACGTCGATGTTTCTCTCTCTCTCTCCCTTCCTCTCTCTCCCTCCCACTCTATCTGTACAAAAAATGGAAAAATATCCTCGGGTGAGGACAAAAAAAAAAAAAAAAATGTAAAGGAATTAAAGTTTTCACTCCAATCTTGTTCTGAACTACCCTACCCTCCCCCAGTGATATTTTACCCTTTCTTAGGGGCAATTAATGTTGTCAGTCTTTTTTTTTTTTTAACTCATCTTTATTGTTGAATGTATTACAGATGTCCCCCCCCTTTCATCCCCACTGACCCCCTCTACCCCTCAATCTCTTGTATATTCTAGAGCTATCCTGTTTATACAAGCAAGTACATATAGAAGTTTTTCCATAAATGAAAGCATATTGAACCTACCTTCTGGATCTTGCTTGGAAATTTGTATTTTGGAAATCATTCTTATCCGTAGTCAGCATTTCCCGCATGGAATAGATGGTGGCATTGTTTATTTAAGCAGCTCTCTACTGGTGGGTGCCTAAGTTGTTTCTAAACTTTTGCTATTTTAATTTGTTTTCTTTATTGCTTTTAGAGAGTGAGGAAGGGAGAGAGAGAGATAGAAACATCAATGAGAGAGAACATCAATTGGCTGCCTCCTGCATGCCCCCCACTGGGGATTTGGCACACAACCTGGGCATGTACCCTGACGGGGAATCGAACTGGTGACCTCTTGGTGCATGGGTCAATGCTCAACCAGTGAGCCACACTAGCTGGGCAAGACTTTTGCTATTTTAAAAATGCTACTGTGCATAACCTTGAACATATGTGGTTTAGCAAGTGTGCAAATATATTCATAGTATAAATTTCTGGAAGTGGAATTGCTGAGTCAAAATGTATGTCCATGTGTACTTTTGACAGATGACAAGCTGTCCCCTGTAAAGAGCGTGCTACTTCATGCTCCCACCAGCCATGTCTGACTGCCTCTTTCCCCCCACTCTTCGCTTCTTGATCTTTGCCTTCCTGGTAGAAACGCACATGTTTTAATTTTTTCAAAATGGCAAAAGAAAACTTTTAAGAAGGGAACCCCAAATTTTGCTCCTGTCTGCAAACGCATGGATTGCTTTGGTTTGCAGGGACCCCTGTGTGTTCATTCTCTGCAAACCAGTGCCGAGGCAGAACTAACATGGGCTCCAAGTCACAAATCTGGGCTTGAGTCGCAGGTCCAATCATTGTCGCTATGTGATCTTGAAACAGGCATCGTGGCTCATTATGCTCCTAATTTGCCAAAATAAGGATATTTATAGCAACTTCATAGGACTATTATGAAGACTGAATGATATTATCTAAGCAAAATGTCCTCTCTCTCATTCAGATAGAAATATTTACCGCCCCCCCCCCGGGTTTCCTCCCTCCCTGGCGAAGATAGCCCCTCTCAAATCTGCAATTTCGTTTCTCCATCAGGCTCCGATAGAAAA